GACTTGGTGACGTGGTGGACGACTTATTGACGGTGGACGACTTGATGACGTGGTGGGCGACTTAATGACGTGGTGGACGACTTGTTGACGTGGTGGACGACTCGATGACGTGGTAGACGACTTGATGACGTGGTGGACTGGTGGACGACTTGATGACGGGTGGACGTGTGGTGTACGCTGGTGACGTGGTGGCGAGCCTGATGACGAATTGGACGACTGATGACGTGATGGACGACTTGGTGACAATTGTGGACGACTTGATGGCCAAGGTGGACATTAATTGGACGATTTAATGACTTGGTGGATGACTTGATGACGTGGTGGACGACTTGATGAAGTGATGGACGGCTTAATGACTTGGTGTACGACTCTATGACGTGGTGGACGACTTAATGAGGTGATGGACGACTTAATGGCGTGCTAAACGACTTAATGACGTGATGGACGACTTAATAAACGTGGTGGACGACTTAATGACGTGGTGGACGACTTCATGACTTGGTGGATGACTTGATGGCTTGGTGGATGACTTGATGGACGACTGATGAAGTGGTGGACGACTTGATGGTGGACGACGATGACGTGGTGGATGACTTGATGACCCGGTGGACGACTTGTTGGCGTGGTGGACGACTTGATGACGTGGTGGACGACTCGATGGCGTAGTGGACGACTTGATGACGTGGTGGACTGGTGGACGACTTGGTGACGTGGTGGACTGACGATGACGGGGTGGACGGGGTGTGCGACTTGGTGACGTGGTGGACGACTTGTTGACGGGGTGGACGACTTGTTGATGACGTGGTGGACGACTTGGTGACGTGGTGGACGACTTGATGACGGGGTGGACGTGGTGGACGACAATGACCCGGTGGACGACTTGATGACGAGGTGGACGACTTGATGACGTGGTGGACGACTGGTGACGTGGTGGACGACCCAGTGAGCAGGTGGACGTGGTGGACGACTTGGTGACGTGTTGGACGACTTGATGACGGGGTGGACGACTTGATGACGTGGTGGACGACTTGATGACGTGGTGGACGACTTGGTGACGTGGTGGACGACTTGATGACGTGGTGGGCGACTTGATGACGTGGTGGACGACTTGATGACGTGGTGGACGACTTGATGACGTGGTGGACGACTTGATGACGTGGTGGACGACTTGATGACGTGGTGGATGAATTGATGACGTGGTGGACGACTTAATGACGTGGTGTAGGGCTTGGTGACGTGGTGTAGGGCTTGGTGACGTGGTGTAGGGCTTGGTGACGTGGTGTAGGGCTTGGTGACGTGGTGTAGGGCTTGGTGACGTGGTGTAGGGCTTGGTGACGTGGTGTAGGGCTTGGTGACGTGGTGTAGGTCTTGGTATGACGTGGTGTAGGGCTTGGTGACGTGGTGTAGGGCTTGGTGACGTGTGCAGGGGGTGACGTGGTGTAGATCTTGGTGACGTGGTGTAGGGCTTGGTGACGTTGTTGGTGACGTGGTGTAGGTCTTGGTGACGTGGTGTAGGTCTTGGTGACGTGGTGTAGGTCTTGGTGACGTGGTGTAGGTCTTGGTGACGTGGTGTAGGGCTTGGTGACGTGGTGTAGGTCTTGGTGACGTGGTGTAGGTCTTGGTGACGTGGTGTAGGTCTTGGTGACGTGGTGTAGGGCTTGGTGACTTAGTTTATATAATTATTTAAAACTGGTCAAAGTATTTACACTATGTTATCATTGCCTGTCATCAATGTGTGTCTTTTAGAAGCGTTATGTGTACACCTTAACTCCTGGTTATCTACTTTAAGGTAAACACTGATATAAAATGTTCCTCATGACCGTTTTAACGGGTCCTCCCTTACCTCCGCTTGGTTCAGTACATCTAGAAAATAAAATAATTTGACCTTACATTCTCTAGTTGTTGTATTAGCTGGGGGTTAATCACCCGTCTGAAGCCAAAAGGTCTGATGGTATTTTTTAAATATATATATTACATGAGTAAGTCAAAATACCATTTCTTACTTGATACAGCCTGGTCAAAAACCTGTGGCAAAGGGTTAAACATTGTACTGCGCGGTGGCGATGAACTGGCCCTTTAACCGTCGATTCCTTCTGGGTTAATGAGGCTGGAACATGTATATTATATAGGGCTTTAGTAGCCAAACCCAATTGTCTGTTATCTAATTATTGAGGAACTATCTCAGATACAGTTCCCAGTGTATATCACTGTAACTTTATCACTGTAGCTATGAGTGTTAAGATGAGGACGGAGGCTATGTTACATAGCTCCGGTTGGTGTTGAGTGACAATGCCTAATACCCGTCGAGGGAGAACGGTAATAGAAGCACTTGATGTCTGGACACAGGCTTTGAGTCATGGTATTCCAGTCGATATAATCTTTTTAGATTATGCAAAAGCAGACGACACAGTCCCTCATGTCCGACTGCTGTTAAAGCTGAGTTCACTTGGGGTAAGAGGTAATGTACTGGAATGTATTGAAGGATTCCTTACACAACGACGACAGCGAGTACAGTAGTGGTGAATGGATGGAAACCTGTCACAAGTGGTGTTCCTCAAGGGTCAGTGCTCGGACTTCTCCCCTGACCAACTACACAACCACAAGAGGCCATGAATACAAATATCACGCCACCGACCAACAACCACAAGACGCCATGAATACAAATATCATGCCACCGGACCATCAACCACAAGACGCCATGAATACAAATATCACACCACCGGACCATCAACCACAAGAGGCCATGAATACAAATATCACGCCACCGGTCCATCAACTACAAGAGGCCATGAATACAAATATCATGCCACCGGTCCATCAACCACAAGACGCCATGAATACAAATATCACGCCACCGGACCAACAACCACAAGAATAGCAATTTTAAAATATCCGCCACCGGACCATCAACCCACGGGCCGCCATGAATACAAATATCCACGCCACCGGACCATCAACCACAGACGCCATGAATACAAAATATCCACCACCGGACCAACAACTGAGGCCATGAATACAAATATCCGCCACCGGTCCATCAACTACAAAGAGGCCATGAATACAAATATCATGCCACCGGACCATCAACAAGACGCCATGAATGCAAATATCACGCCACCGGACAAAAAAACAACCACAGAGGCCATGAATACAAATATCATGCCACCGGACCCAACAACCACAAGAGGCCATGAATACAAATATCACGCCACCGGACCATCAACCACAAGATGCCATGAATACAAATACCACGCCAACGGACCAACAACTACAAGAGGCCATGAACACAAATATCACGCCACCGGACCATGAACCACAAAAGGCCATGAATACAAATATCATGCCACCGGACCAACAACCACAAGAGGCCATGAATACAAATATCACGCCACCGGTCCATCAACTACAAGAGGCCATGAATACAAATATCATGCCACCGGACCATCAACCACAAGACGCCATGAATACAAATATCACGCCACCGGACCAACAACCACAAGAGGCCATGAATACAAATATCATGCCACCGGACCATCAACCACAAGAGGCCATGAATACAAATATCACGCCACCGGACCAACAACCACAAGAGGCCATGAATACAAGTATCACGCCACCGGACCATCAACCACAAGAGGCCATGAATACAAATATCACGCCACCGGACCATCAACCAACATCAAGAGTCACACAAGCCTGGAATAATCTCTCTTGAGTAATACATGACCTGTATCAGTACAGCTTCTCATATAGACAAATCCAGCACCACGAACACCACGCATATAAGAATAGAAGCAACTTACCCTTGGTACGGTTCATTACCCACACGGGTACCTACTGACTGTAAATACTTAAGGTTTCTCTGCCGGACTACAGCTTCAGTACATCCTCGTTCCTCAGGTGCACGCCGCTTCCCGGGAAGGTCTCAAGAAGCATAGCGAGTCTTGTGGAAAATGTGACCTTTTAGTGACTGTTTGAGAAGTACAACTCATGCATATAATGTCCAAGTAAATTATTTAGTATTGTCTAATTGAATTATAGACTTTCATAATTATTGAATGGTGAAGGTATTATGGACCATTTGTGTAAACAGTTGCCATGCAGGCCAGCACAGGTCACAAAATAAAGGAATATAACCCCAGAAGTCATTGTAATACCAACTGAAAAAGACAGAGAACAATTCCTTCCGAAGGTAAAATATAGCCATTTTGCACCTTTTTCTTCCTGGATCAAGAACTTTGGTGATTATAAAATCTGGTCACCTTGCACCCGGCCGCCGCTGGTTCCAGTTCATAGTAGTGAGCCAAACTAAGATGATGCCTCTGTTGTTGTTGGTGAAGGCCGTGGGTGTGTTGGTCAGAGAGTGACAGTGTTGGTGAAGGCCGTGGGTGTGTTGGTCAGAGAGTGACAGTGTTGGTGAAGGCCGTGGGTGTGTTGGCCTGGGAGAGCAGGGCAGAAGGCTGGGGTGTTGGCTGGGGAGAGTACAGTGTTGGTGAAGGCTGTGTGTAAGCACAGAGAGTGACAGTGTTGGTGAAGGCCGTGGGTAAGCACAGGAGAGTGACAGTGCTGGTGGGTTGCCGGGTGTGCTGGTCAGAGAGTGTCAGTGTTGGTGAAGGCCGTGGGTGTGTTGGTCAGAGAGTGACAGTGTTGGTGAAGGCCGTGGGTGTGTTGGTCAGAGAGTGACAGTGTTGGTGAAGGCCGTGGGTGTGTTGATCAGAGAGTGACAGTGTTGGTGAAGGCCGTGGGTGTGTTGGTCAGAGAGTGACAGTGTTGGTGAAGGCCGTGGGTGTGTTGGTCAGAGAGTGACAGTGTTGGTGAAGGCCGTGGTGTATATCAGAAGAGTGACAGTGTTGGTGAAGGCCGGTGTGTGTTGGTCAGAGAGTGACAGTGTTGGTGAAGGCCGTGGGTGTGTTGGTCAGAGAGTGACAGTGTTGGTGAAGGCCGTGGGTGTGTTGGTCAGAGAGTGACAGTGTTGGTGAAGGCCATGGGTGTGTTGGTCAGAGAGTGACAGTGTTGGTGAAGGCCGTGGGTGTGTTGGTCAGAGAGTGACAGTGTTGGTGAAGGCCGTGGGTGTGCTAGAAATAAAAGTCGTGACTCGTCTTTGTGGAAAAGTAAAGCTGCAGAAGGTACAATTACGTCACTATGACGCCACCGTCTTACACCTGTCAGTAATACTTCTTCTGTCTAGTATGATAATTATTTTCAGAGCTGCATGTACCCGCGGGGGTTCCTCCAGCACTACTGCCTGGCTCCCTGCCACACGCTGAATGGCTTGATCTGCTCCTCTCCGGGGTTGATGCTGCACACATAGACTGGGCAGTCCAGGTGTCTCAACAACTACAGGCAGTTAACAGGTAAGATACAGACTCCTACTTTGTATTGATCATTTATTTATTATACACAACTTTTATATTACTGTATGATGATCCAGGCCGTCAAGATGATGAAATACTAAACTGCACGAGGAACATTAATGATGTACAGCCAACAGTACAAGTTTGTTACCAGCCAACCTGCAGGTGGATCAACGTGTACTGTTGACTGTATTACATTGTGATACTTAAGATGAATACTAATAAAAGTTATGAAGGGTGAAATAATAATAATAATAATAAAAATAATAATAATAATAATAATAATAATAATAATAATAATAATAATAATAATAATAATAATAATAATAATAATAATAACAATAATAATAATAATAGCAATAATAATAATAATAATAATAATAATAATAATAATAATAATAATAATAATAATGATAATAATAATGATAATAATAATAATAATAATAATAATATAAATAATAATAATAATAATAATGTAATAGCAATAATAATTAATTATTATTAGAAGAAGAAGAAGAAGAAGAAGGCTGGATCATTGTTAGTTTGGTGGACTGTTTCATTTGGGTCAATATTTGATGATTAATACAGTGGCTGTACAGTACAGTAGTCTTTTGTGGACACGATAAAAAAGGTTTGGTTTGGTTCTTCCCAGTTGAGAATCACCAAGTAAAAAACGTGTTCCTTTTCTTTACGTTACTACGACCGTTTTCCATTGAAAAGGAACAAATAAACAAATATTGAAGAAACTGAAATAGATATTGTGGAAGTGATTATTACCTTTAGAAGTTTAGATGATATTTGTTATGGAAGGGCGGAGAAAGGGAAGATGGTATCGTCCCCAGCCCCTCTCAACTGTCCATCATTCTCCGCACCAGCCACTCTCTGACTACTGTGTTTGCTTACGTTATGAGTGGTAAGGTTAGGTTAGGTTATTATTGGTTAGGTTAGGTTAGGTTATGAGTGGTATGGTTAGGTTAGGTTATTATTGGTTAGGTTAGGTTAGGTTAGGTTATGAGTGGTATGGTTAGGTTAGGTTATTATTGGTTAGGTTAGGTTAGGTTATGAGTGGTATGGTTAGTTTAGGTTATTTTAGGTTATTATTGGTTAGGTTAGGTTAGGTTAGTTATGAGCGGTATGGTTAGTTTAGGTTATTACGTTATTATTGGTTAGGTTAGTTAGGTTATTGGTTGTAAGAAGTTAGGTTAAGGAGTGGTATGGCTAGTTTAGGCGGTTTAGGTTATTGGCTGGTTAGGTTAGGTTATGAGTGGTATGGTTAGTTTAGGTTATTATTGGTTATTATTGGTTAGGTTAGTTAGGTTAGGTTATGAGTGGGTATGGTTAGTTTAGGTTAGTTATTGGTTATTATTGGTTAGGTTAGGTTAGGTTAGGTTATGAGTGGTATGGTTAGTTTAGGTTATTATTGGTTATTATTGGTTAGGTTAGGTTAGGTTAGGTTATGAGTGGTATGGTTAGTTTATGTTATTATTGGTTAGGTTAGGTTAGGTTATGAGTGGTATGGTTAGTTTAGGTTATTATTGGTTATTATTGGTTAGGTTAGAGTGGTATGGTTAGTTTAGTTATTATTGGTTATTATTGATTAGGTTAGGTTAGGGTTAGGTTATGAGTGGTATGGTTATTTAGGGGTTATTATTGGTTATTGGTTAGGGGTTAGGTTAGGTTAATAGGTTATGAGTGGTATGGTTAGTTTAGGTTAGTTATGGGTTATTATTGATTAGGTTATTTAGGTTAGGTTATGAGTGGTATGGTTAGTTTAGGTTATTATTGGTTATTATTGGTTAGGTTAGGTTAGGGGTTACATGATATGGTTGGGTTTAGGTTATTATTGGTTATTATTGATTAGGTTAGGGGTTAGGGTTAGGGTTATGAGTGGTATGTGGTTGGTTTAGTTATTATTGGTTATTATTGGTTAGGTTAGGTTAGGTTATGAGTGGTATGGATAGTTTAGGTTATTATTGGTTATTATTGGTTAGGTTAGGTTAGGTTATGAGTGGTATGGTTAGTTTAGGTTATTATTGGTTATTATTGGTTAGGTTAGGTTAGGTTATGAGTGGTATGGTTAGTTTAGGTTATTATTGGTTATTATTGATGAGGTTAGGTTAGGTTAGGTTATGAGTGGTATGGTTGGTTTAGGTTATTATTGGTTATTATTGGTTAGGTTAGGTTATGAGTGGTATGGTTAGTTTAGGTTATTATTGGTTATTATTGGTTAGGTTAGGTTATGAGTGGTATGGTTAGTTTAGGTTATTATTGGTTATTATTGATTAGGTTAGGTTATGAGTGGTATGGTTAGTTTAGGTTATTATTGGTTATTATTGATGAGGTTAGGTTAGGTTATGAGTGGTATGGTTAGTTTAGGTTATTATTGGTTATTATTGATTAGGTTAGGAGTGGTATGGTTAGTTTAGGTTATTATTGGTTATTATTGATTAGGTTAGGTTAGGTTAGGTTATGAGTGGTATGGTTAGTTTAGGTTATTATTGGTTATTATTGACAAGGTTAGGTTAGGTTATGAGTGGTATGGTTAGTTTAGGGGTTATTATTGGTTATTATTGATTAGGTTAGGTTAGGGTTATGAGTGGCATGGTTAGTTTGTGGGTTATTATTGGTTATTATTGATTAGGTTGTGTTAGGTTAGGTTATGAGTGGTATTTTTAGTTTAGGTTATTATTGGTTATTGGTTAGGTTTAGGTTAGGTTAGGTTAAGTGAGTGGTATGTTAGTTTAGGTTATTATGGGTTATTATTGATTGTGTTAGGTTTAGGTTAGGTTAAGGAGTGGTATGGTTGGTTTAGGTTATTATTGGTTATTGGTTAGGGTTAGTTAGGGTTAGGTTAAGAGTGGTATGGTTATTTAGTTATTTATTGGTTATTATTGGTTAGAAGAAGTTAGGTTATGAGTGGTGTTGTTTAGTTTAGGTTATTATTGCTATTATTGATTGTGGTTAGGTTAGGGTTAGGCTATGAGTGGCAATATGGTTAGTTTAGGTTATTATTGGTTATTATTGATTAGGTTAGGTTAAGGTTATGAGTGGTATGGTTAGTTTTTAGGTTATTATTGGTTATTATTGATTAGGTTAGGTTAGGTTAGGTTATGAGTGGTATGGTTAGTTTAGGTTATTATTGGTTATTATTGATTAGGTTAGGTTAGGTTATGAGTGGTATGGTTAGTTTAGGTTATTATTGGTTATTATTGATTAGGTTAGGTTAGGTTATGAGTGGTATGGTTAGTTTAGGTTATTATTGGTTATTATTGATTAGGTTGGGAGTGGTATGGTTAGTTTAGGTTATTATTGGTTATTATTGATTAGGTTAGGTTAGGTTATGAGTGGTATGGTTAGTTTAGGTTATTATTGGTTATTATTGATTAGGTTAGGTTAGGTTATGAGTGGTATGGTTAGTTTAGGTTATTATTGGTTATTATTGATTAGGTTAGGAGTGGTATGGTTAGTTTAGGTTATTATTGGTTATTATTGATTAGGTTAGGTTAGGTTAGGTTAAGTGAGTGGTATTGTTGTAGGTTATTATTGGTTATTATTGGTTAGGGTTAGGTTAGGTTATGAGTGGTATGGTTAGTTTAGGTTATTATTGGTTATTACGATTAGGTTAGGTTAGGTTAGGTTATGAGTGGTATGGCTATTTAGGTTATTATTGGTTATTATTGGTTAGGTTAGGTTAGGTTATGAGTGGTAAGTGGTTAGTTAGGTTATTGGTTATTATTGATTAGGTTAGGTTAGGTTAGGTTATGAGTGAAGTGGTTAGTTTAGGTTATTATTGGTTATTATTGGATTAGGTTAGGGTTAGGGTTATGAGTGGTAAGCGGTTAGTTTAGGTTATTATTGGTTATTATTGATTAGGTTAGGGTTAGGTTATGAGCGAAGTATGGCTAGTTTAGGTTATTATTGCTGTTATTGATTAGGTTAGGTTAGGTTAGGTTAAGTGAGTGGTATGGTTAGTTTAGGTTATTATTGGTTATTATTGATTAGGTTAGTTAGGTTAGGTTATGAGTGGTATGGTTAGTTTAGGTTATTATTGGTTATTATTGATTAGTTAGGTTAGGTTAGGTTAAGTGAGTGGTATGGTTGGTTTAGGTTGCTATTGGCTATTGGTTAGGGTTAGGTTATGAGGGTATGGTTAGTTTAGGTTATTATTGTTGGTTATTGATTAGGGTTAGGTTAGGTTAGGTTATGAGTGGTATGGCTAGGGGTTTAGGTTACGGCTGGTTATTATTGATTAGGTTAGGTTAGGTTATGAGTGGTATGGTTAGTTTAGGTTATTATTGGTTATTATTGATTAGGTTAGGTTAGGTTATGAGTGGTATGGTTAGTTTAGGTTATTATTGGTTAGGTTAGGTTATTATTGGTTAGGTTAGGTTAGGTTATGTGGTATGGTTAGTTTAGGTTATTATTGGTTATTATTGATTAGGTTAGGTTAGGTTAGGTTATGAGTGGTATGGTTAGTTTAGGTTATTATTGGTTAGGTTAGGTTAGGTTAGGTTATGAGTGGTATGGTTAGTTTAGGTTATTATTGGTTATTATTGGTTAGGTTAGGTTATTATTGGTTAGGTTAGGTTATTATTGGTTAGGTTAGGTTAGGTTATGAGTGGTATGGTTAGTTTAGGTTATTATTGGTTAGGGGCCTCCACCCATTATCTTACACAGGGCCCCCAACCATTATCTTACACAGGGCCTCCAACCATTATCTTACACAGGGCCCCCAAACCATTATCTTGTACAAGGCCCCAAACTGTTATCTTACACAGGTCCCCAAACTGTTATCTTACACAGGGCCCCAACCATTATCTTGTACAGGGCCCCCAACCATTATCTTGTACAGGGCCCCAAACTGTTATCTTACACAGGGCCCCAACCATTATCTTGTACAGGGCCCCAAACTGTTATCTTACACAGGGCCCCAACCATGAGCCTTGTACAGGGCCCCAAACCATTATTTTGTACAGGCCCCCAAACTGTTATCTTACACAGGGCCCCAACCATTATCTTGTACAGGGCTCCCTAACCAGACATTCTGTACAGGGCCCCCAAACTGAAAGAGCCCACATACAGGGCCCCCAACCATTATCTTGGTGCAGGGCCCCCAAACTGTTATTCCCACAGGCCCCCCAACCATTATCTGGTACAGGGCCGCCAACCATTATTTTGTACAGGGCCCCAAACTGTTATCTTACATAGGGCCCCAACCATTATCTTGTACAGGGCCCCAAACTGTTATCTTACACAGGGCCCCAACCATTATCTTGTACAGGGCCCCAAACTGTTATCTTACACAGGGCCCCCAACCATTATCTTGTACAGGGCCCCAAACTGTTATCTTACACAGGGCCCCCAACCATTATCTTGTACAGGGCCGCCAACCATTATTTTGTACAGGGCCCCAAACTGTTATCTTACATAGGGCCCCAACCATTATCTTGTACGGGGCCCCAAACTGTTATCTTACACAGGGCCCCTCACAAGGTAGAGTCGGCCCTGTCATCCCGGTACAAGGTTGGAATACGTGTATTACACTACCAGTAGTTACCGGGAATCATGTGGTAACAGTGAGAGGGAAACACCTATACCAGTGTTGCCAGATTTTTAAATATAAATAATTATCGAGCTGGATCCACAAAATTATTGTTTCTTTATCAACATTATCGTACACTTGCAGACATTATTAGTACGTGTCTTTATTTATTGTAAAGTTACCTTTTGATTGACGAAGTTATCACATACGACAGTTTAAATAATGTGTGGGAAGGAAGCATTAATGAACTATTGGTAATATTGGTAGACAAAATAAGACACTCAGTCAAAGTTTTAGTACTTTAGTAGGCAGACTAACACAACCATTGTTGACATTGATAATTTGGGTTAGCAATTATCGTGATCTCAAATATGAACCTAAAATTATTTGATAATATAATAATAATAATAGTTACAATAATAATAATAATAATAATAATAATAATAATAATAATAATAATAATAATAATAATAATAATAATAATAATAATTATAGTTACAATAATAATAATAATACAAATAATAATAATAATAATAATAATAATAATAATAATAATAATAATAATAATAATAATAATAATTATAGTTACAATAATAATAATAATATTATCAATAACAATATAATAACACCAACAACAACAACAACAATCATCATGTGAGGTCCTCGACTTAGTAATGGAAGTAAACCTGGGCCGTGGTCCATATTAAAACTGGGGGAATTTATAAGGAACACAAACACACAACTGAATGTTTATAATATAATTATTTTAAGTATAAATAATAATTATATTAATGGTGCAAACTTTATACACACTATGTGTATACAATATACAGGTTCATCATCATTTTAATATGATGAAATAATGACTACTATAAGTGTTCAAGTGTTGTCCTCCCCGCCCCCAGGGACTATGACTCGCTGAGGTTCCCCCGTTGTCTGCTGAGTGACCTAGAACTGGGTGTGTTGGCCAGCCAGCTGAGACGTCGTCACGTGCGGGCGACTACACTTGTTGTGCAGGGAGACAAGGAGGAGACCTTCACTCTGTCCGGATACACAGTCTGGAGGTACGTATTGTGTACAGTCGTCCAACGAGGTGATGTCACAGTTTTCAGTAAGATTAGTTCAAACAGCGGTATCTGGCAGGAGACCAGCGAGTGACTGACTGGTCGTCGTTGTAGTAAGATGGTGTATTAACTCATGAGCCAAATTTCTCGCTACTTAAATTACTGACATTCTCTCATTATATACGCAGGTAAAATTCTTCAAGACGGATAACAAAAGTAAAAGAACTATATTCCAGTCCCATGCTTAAAAGAGGCAGAAAATGTGTGCCGTAAAATAGGACAAGATAATATGATACACCAGCCGGCGGTAACAACTGTTATATAGTGCGTCCTTCACAGCTGAGATGTTTTATAAATGAGTTTATAAATGAGTTTATTATTAATGACCGTTTTTGACGAGAAAGATATTGAGCTAAATTATATAAAGATACATACATTAATTATTTCATACATGAACACGAAGGAAGTTTATCAGAAATATTATACAAGAATTAACTGTTAAACTCTGGTAGCAAATTGACGTTTTCGTAGGACGCATTTAATATATAATTATTTTTACCCACAATAAGACATACTAAGACAAATTGCATATCAGTAATACTACATCAGGCAAAAACATAATTTAAAAAAATCAGAATAACATTGAAATATTACACGACCGTCAGCAGAGGTGGGAAATATATGAAGTTGTTCCCAGTAATTATTTCACATAATTATGTTCCAGCTGTAAAAACTAAAAGAGATAATAAAGGCAGTTGACACTTTATGACTGAACGTTTCTGGTGACACCAATCATTTAGACCATTTCCGGTACTTTGGTTTTACAGCAGATGTTGATGGTTGTTACCTTCGGCATTATCCTCCAGGGTGCATCATTCCATGTTTTACAGCAGATGTTGATGGTTGTTACCTTCGGCATTATCCTCCAGGGTGTACCTATCTGTTTACAGATGCTGATGGTTGTTACCTTCGGCATTATCCTCCAGGGAAATTATTCCATGTTTTACAAGCATATGTTGCTGGTTACCTTTCTGGCATTATCCTCCTGTGGGTGCATCATTCCATGTTTTGCTACAGCAGATGTTGCTGGCTGTTACCTTCGGCATTATCCTCCAGGGTAATTTCTCATTCCATGTTTACAGCAGATGTTGATGGTTGCTACCTTCGGCATTATCCTCCAGGGTGCATCATTCCATGTTTTATAAGCAGATGTTGCTGGTTGTTACCTTCCGGCATTATCCCTCCGTGGGGTGCATCATTCCATGTTTTACAGCAGATGTTGATGGCTGTTACCTTCGGCATTATCCTCCAGGGTATCATTATTCCAGCGTTTTAGCAGCAGATGTTGCTGGTTGTTACCTTCGCATTATCCTCCAGGGTGCATCATTCCATGTTTTACAGCAGATGTTGATGGTTGTTACCTTCGGCATTATCCTCCAGGGTGCATCATTCCATGTTTTACAGCATATGTTGCTGGTTGTTACCTTCGGCATTATCCTCCAGGGTGCATCATTCCATGTTTTACAGCAGATGTTGCTGGTTGTTACCTTCGGCATTATCCTCCAGGGTGCATCATTCCATGTTTTACAGCAGATGTTGCTGGTTGTTACCTTCGGCATTATCCTCCAGGGTGCATCATTCCATGTTTTACAGCAGATGTTGATGGTTGTTGCCTTCGGCATTATCCTCCAGGGTGCATCATTCCATGTTTTACAGCAGATGTTGATGGTTGTTACCTTCGGCATTATCCTCCAGGGTATCATTCCATGTTTTCTACAGCAGATGTTGCTGGTTGTTACCTTCGCTGGCATTATCCTCCAGGGTGCATCATTCCATGTTTTACAGCAGATGTTGCTGGTTGTTACCTTCGGCATCATCCAGGGTATCATTCCATGTTTTACAGCAGATGTTGTTGGCTGTTACCTTCGGCATTATCCTCCAGGGCATCATCTATGTTTTACAGCAGATGTTGCTGGTTGTTACTCTCTTCGGTATTATCCTCCAGGTGCATCATTCATGTTTTACAGCAGATGTTGCTGGTTGTTACCTTCGCATTGTCCCTCCGGTGCGCATCATTCCATGTTTTACAGCAGATGTTGATGGTTGTTACCTCTTTGCATTATCCTCCAGGTGTACCATTCCTACAAAGTTTACAGTAGATGTTGCTGGTTGTTACCTTCGGCATTATCCTCCAGGGTGCATCATTCCATATTTTACAGCAGATGTTGCTGGTTGTTACCTTCGGCATTATCCTCCAGGGTGCATCATTCCATGTTTTACAGCAGATGTTGATGGTTGTTACCTTCGGCATTATCCTCCAGGGTGCATCATTCCATGTTTTACAGCAGATGTTGCTGGTTGTTACCTTCGGCATTATCCTCCAGAGTGCATCATTCCATGTTTTACAGCAGATGTTGATGGTTGTTACCTTCGGCATTATCCTCCAGGGTGCATCATTCCATGTTTTACAGCAGATGTTGCTGGTTGTTACCTTCGGCATTATCCTCCAGGGTGCATCATTCCATGTTTTACAGCAGATGTTGATGGTTGTTACCTTCGGCATTATCCTCCAGGGTGCATCATTCCAT